TTACGGATTAGTTGTCTGGCTTCCTTATAGGAAACTGATGTGCCTTTAGCTGCCAAAGTAAAGCTGCCAACAAAACTGAAGATAATGCACACACTTGATTTGAAGCAGTGAACAAAGAAATACTACAAGATACTTTGACAAAGATTTTTGACAGTGTTGAGCCAGGGAAATGAAAAGTATTATATGACAATCGACAAATAGTTATTAAATAGATGGCAAATTAAGGTGCAGTAGATTAAAGAGAAATCACTTTTTAAAAAGTGTTTTATAGAACTGTGTTTGCCTTTGCTATTATAATCCTTTAATAATCTCATCCATCTGAAACAGCTTTATATATTACCTTAATAAAGCCTTTTTTTCCTACTTGAAGTGACTTTAGTGATGCTATATAATATATGTAGGCCCTGAAGGAGCTAATGGATTTGGCTCAAGCTTGTAGGGGGTGCAGTGTGCCTCCCCTTTTCAAACCCTGAGGGAGGTTCTGGCCTGCTACACCAGATCCTGTTTACAACTTGGCCTTTAAGCTTTTAAGAAAACTGGTGGCCAGTTGCAGTGGCTCATGCCTGTAATCCCAGCACTTTGGGAGGCTGAGGTGGGTGGATCACAAAGTCAGGAGTTCAAGACCAGCCTGGCCAACATGGTGAAACCCTGTATCTACTAAAAATACAAAAATTAGCTGGGCATGGTGGCACACACCTGCTATCCCAGCACTTTGGGAGACTGAGGCGGGTGGATTACTTGAGGTCAAGAGTTCAAGACCAGCCTGGCCAACATGGTGAAATTCTGTCTCTACTAAAAATACAAAAAATAGCTGGGCTAGGTGGCATGTGCCTGTAGTCCCAGCTACTCAGGAGGCAGAGGCAGGAGAAGCGCTTGAACACGGGAGGCAGAGGTTGCAGTGAGCCAAGATCGTGCCACTGCACTCTAGCCTGGGCGACAGAGTAAGACTCCATCTCAAAAAAAAAAAAAAAAAGGAAAATTGAGATGTGGGTCAGACACCTAGCAGACCTCCTGGGGCAGGGGCTGTGTTCCTGGGGAAGTGGGAATGGTTGAGTGTTGGTATCTTAGGTTGTGCTGCCTTAATGAAATACCACAGATTAGTTTGTCTTAAAAAGCAGACACTGGGTCAGGCGCAGTGGCCTCATGCCTGTAATCCCAGCACTTTGGAGGCCTGAGGCGGCGCCGGCCCATCCCAACCTGCGGTCACAAGTTCGAGACACAACCGTGCACCCCACCCCGCTGCCACCTCTCATATACAATAAACAAAAAATAAAAAATATACCACCACCACGCGGCGCTCGGATACTGTCATAGATAAACACAGCATATATAATAAGCGAGGAACAGAACCCTCATAACAAACAAACAGGAGGCAGAGGTTGCAGTGAGCCCAAGAATGCCGGGGGGGCTAGCACTACAGGCCTCGGGCAAACAAGAGTGCACTGCTGCTCTCAAACAGCAAACAACACAAGCAAACAAAACCAGACCCATTGCGCTGGCCTTGTGGCTCACACCCTTGTAATCGCCAGCACTCTTGGGAGGCCAAGGTGGACACGAGGCATCTCGCTTGGACCGACGCTACCCTCAACGGGTCGCGCGTCGCCTGTGATCTGAGCACATGCATTCACACCTGCGCGCCAACACGAGAGGTGACCACTCCCGTCTCTGAACACACACACCAGACACCTTGTTTCGCTCAGTTCTGGAGCGAGTGGACGTCGTGAGATAGAGGGTGCCAGATAGGGTGCCCAGCCATGGTTGCGCTTCCTGACTTGAAAGCCTTGAGTCGCAGGTTCTGTTCCTCCACAGCAAAAGACGAGCAGAGACACTATCAGCCGCACCATCTGACGCTCCTCTTCCTCTTTGTAAGGCCCAGCCCGCTATCATGTTTAACCCACAGGGAATCCTGCTGGTGCACCACAGTTCAC